CTTACCATCCCTTTCAGCCTCTCCCTTTTAAATCATAGTGCATTAGTGCTATTGAATAAAGAATTTTCTGGAAACATTATCCAACTACTGTATTGAATTTCCGCTTCCAAGTTTAGCCTTCATCCTAACCTTCTGACTGCTACTGTTTTGTCCATGGAAATTTAGACTTTGGCACTACACCTGTGTATTTTGTGCCAGTATAAGAACAACATCATGCTGTACTCAAATTGTGTGCAGTAGATTTGCAATATTTGAAGGTGTAATTTATTTGTGTGTGGGATTGTGCAGGGTGCTGCTCTAACTGTAGGGATGATATTGAAACAAACAAATATGAACTAAATGCTCAGGAGACTTCAATTAGCTGCATTTCAATTACAGAGCTAATTAAACAGAACCAACCAAGAAGGCCTTATTGGAATTGTGATCAGCTAATCATGCATGTTCTATGCAGAGTGAAACTGCTTCTCAGAAAGTGGTACACATTATGCTGAAGAATATGTGATACATACATATTTAATAGATAATTGCTTTTATGCTGTGGTTTTCACTCCGCAGCTGTCAAAACAAGGAAGGAACAGTCCTGTGTGGCAGTTGTCACACCTGCTCCAATAACTGTTAAGAAATATTGTAATTACTGAGAGATATTATGAGGGAGAAGCCTTGTAAAATAACTACAGTGCTATTTTTTTTCCTGTGGCAGTTTCAAAAGTAAAGGTGAGAAGGGTAAGAGAGTTGTATCTTGTCCCGAAAGGATCCCTTTACACCAGCTGATAGAGTAAATCTTATTAAATAATTATTCAGATACAATAAAAAGGTAGACTCCTCAGTGAATCTCAGATACATGTCAATGTTTAATAAGACTAAACAAATGGAATAGAGTGGCCATAGGATTATTAGATCAACAATCAGCAAACTGGCCACACTAATGATTGTTACTGGATAATTCTGAAATTATCTTGGGAAGAATCTGTCAGTGCAAATGCACTTACCTACAAGCAGTATGCATCATGAGTGCTTTAGAGGTACAGAAAGCAGTAATTGATCAGAACGCACTGAGATCGAGTGGAAGCCCAGGCCAGTGTCTCTATCTTGACAGAATACGTTTGGTGGATGTTGTTTCTGAAAGCCTCGGTGACGGTCAGGTTCGTCCAGTTTCTTGTTTCCTCCTTTTTGTTTGTATGATAGTACACACTGGGGCATCCACTGAGAGCATGTCCTCTTGGGCTGAGTGATATGTATCTGTAGGTTAAGAGATTCCTCTTTCCATTCCCATCCCAACCCCCTCCCCGACTGTAGAAGCTAAAAAACAAGACAGGCACAAGATTGAGGGCAAGGGAGCATCGCTATCCTAGGCAAGGAACTGAGTCAGGGAGAGAGGGCATGAACAGTCAGCCACCGAACAGAAACAGAGAGGGACTGAGTCCAACAGACATCTCTCTCTCACTGGATCACAGGTTGCACTGTTCTTTTCCTGGCAATGCAAAATTGGCATACTTGAGATTTTCCTTTGTTTTCTTTGAAGCCTGCCTTTGGCACAAGCCAATGGGATAATATACTTCAGCTTTGACAAAGTTCTTAGTAGACAAAGTTCTTAGTACCCTGGTACTGTATTAGATCACTTACTTGTTTTTGCAAATGGTGATACTGCCTGGAGATGATGGGTCAGGTCTATCTGGGAATTTAATTTTGTGATGTAATATTTTCATTCAGTTAGGAAATGGTCTCGGAGAAATGCTAGATAACATGACATTTCACAGAGGAACAAGTTCTACATCTTCAAGTATTCAAAATGTGTTCTCAATGCTACTGAGTATTTAAAAAATGTGATATAATAGTAACTATTCTAGGAGAATTATTACATTTAGTTTTGGCTAGCCCTCCACAATAAAGAAATGCCTGCAAAGTTTATAAGGACATTGAAACAAGCAGTGCCAGTACTTATGGGTTAGTTAAAATTAACAGTTGATGCTTTCCGACTGAGAAATGTGTAATCCTGTACCGCTCAGTGCAAGCATGCAGAGATTGCAATGGGAGTCAGCTGGGGTTAAAGTAAAATTTTTCACCGGGGTTTGGTTTAACTGTTTCATTAATTTGCATGTGAGTTGCAATTTTTAAATTTTAAATAAGCTTTGTTCTGAAAGTATCTGCACGTATCACCCATGTTCTTGTGTGCATCTGAAACTGTGAATTCTGCTGTTGTTTTTCGGTCAGTATCTCTGTCTCTTTCCCCCATGTTACTGTATGGAGTAGGAAAGAAAAAAAATCCTGTGCAGCATATGGGTACAATACAGAGTGGATCTAGTTCAGATCCTCAAGTGTCCCGCACCATTATGCTTGGGATGCATCTGTAGTGCCATGTGCTCTGGTCTGTCTGATGGCTAGTCTGCCAGGAATGGACAACAATGGTGAGTGAGGGAAGCAAATCAAAACTTTTAATTTCTGAATGCCTGCTTATAGTCAGCTGGGAGGTATTTGGAAGTACAGGGATATAGTATGGTAAATGCAGTATATTGAAGCCATAATTAATATGGCCTTTCTTTTAGAAAAGGAAAGCCGTAGAACTTTAGTCTTAAGTAATTCTGAGACTCATCCCTGTGTTGGTGAACCTGTGATACATGTGACAGAATTGGACAAGGATCAGATCAGAGCAGATGCGAAGCAGATTATAAAAGTTGATAGGGGTAGTGATGCAAAATACAAAAACTTTGTCAGCCTCCTATTTGTGAAGGCATAACTTGGAAAAGATAAAACATTTTCAAACGTACTGTGTCAGCTGCAGGAATTTTTGAACTGAAGTTGTTTTTTTTCCTCGCAAATGAGAAATGAGGTAAGTCATTATACAGTACCTTTGTTCCTGGGTATGAAACGCTGTTCATCACATTTTAATGCACAGGAAATCAGTGTACAAAACTGCTGTGGATATGGTGTTGCATACTGCAGTCTGGAGGCCCCCGCATCTTCCTGGAGGCCCCCGCACCTTCCTGGCTTCCTCCCCGCTGGAGGGGGGACGTGCAGCCTGCTCAGTGTGGCGGTGTGCTGGTTGCTGGGGCTGAGACAGCAGCCGTCTGCCAGCAGAGAGCACTGCAGCCCCTTGCCGGTGTTTGATGGGCGATAAATGGAAACATATGGCCGGAACAAAGCGGATGAGTAAGGAGGAATATACAGAGGAGCGCTGAACGTAGAGACAGAATTGAATGTAAAGGTGAGACAGGGAGGATGCTCTCAAGGAGGAAAATAATGAAGAATGGAGGCAATGCAAGGTGGGCGTGAAAAGGGAAGGGGAAATCAAAAGATACAGACTACTAGAAAGCAAACCAGAGAATAGGAAAAATACAGAAAAGAGAAGGGAAAGGCTGGAAAATAGACCTGGAGGATGGAAGTAAAAAGTCTTGTAAAGAGATTGTGGTGATCCCCTTACCCCCTGAGCCAGAGGAGAGTTGCAGATCCTGATGCTGGGCACGGAGGAAGGACAGGGACCCAGAAAGTGCTACTGCTTTTTAGTATCATAGAGCGATATATGTGTGTTTATCTTGGTTCGTGTTCTTAATGCACTTTCTGTATTGTCATTTGGATGAGTTATCCCTATGTCTGCATACTGATATTAATCTGTGATTAAAGAGGACGAAAAAAAGTACCACAAGACAATTTTCAAAATGTTGCTCTTGAAGACCATTGTTTCCTATGTAAATGTTTTTGCCAGGGTGCAAGAATTGTGCCTCAGCTTGTATAGTATTTATTCCTGTTTCTCATGTTTGTTTTTTTTTTTTCTGAACTCATGTGACGCTTCAGTAATACATTGTATTAAGATGATCAGGTAAATTTCAGTTGCAGAGTATGGTGTTTCCTACTTCTAAGTCCAAAAGTGCATCATAATCCAGCATCACGAAGTGTGTGGGGCTATCACTATTTTAGGGGATGCAGGGAAGGGGCAAGGAGGTTGTCAGCTCTTGCAATGGGTGCAGCACATCCACAAATCCAGCTTGTTAAGGATTTTTCTAGATTATTAGTTGAATGTTGAAAGCAAATGCTTTTTTCTCCTCTTCTTCCAGTAGCATCTCCCCGAAGTCTTTGTAAAATGTCAGGGTGTTACGTAAAATCTGCAGCTCTCTAATGGTGCTTTTGGGCTTATTGTGACCTTTTGAAATCATTACAACCCCCACCCCCTAAAGCCCCCCAACTTTCCTTAGTTAATTGCACATGGGAATATGGAAATAGGAATCCAATTTATTGTTATCCAGGTGGCATTTCCTGTTACTTGGCTATATAGTTTTCTGTATGGTAATTAGTATGCGGAAAGCTGGAAAGATGCCTGTAATTCCAAAATGAACTCTCTGTAGCTCTCCCCCTCCCACTTGCACTCTCGTTTTAGTACCGCCCCTTCCATGCACCCTTTAGCCAGCAGCAAGACAGCTGTGTTTGATCATAAACCACTTAAACTCCAGGCTCACTGGCAGGGGAAACTTTAGCGTGAAGTGCAGCATTGGTTTGTCTCGGGGAGGAGAGCTTTCTTCTCTTTTCCCTTCTCCCTCCCTGAACACCAAAGACTGTAGCAGCACTCTCCTTTTAATTTCTCTGTGAACTTGCACGAAGCTCACCAAATTTTTCTGAGTACGTTAAGTGGCATTGGGAGATACCCTTAAACAGAGTTGTGGAAAAGAGCAGCATAAAACAGACAGCAGAGATGAAGCAGGACTTGCAGATGGACTAAGACAGCCCTGGGATCCTGGCAAGCAAGCAGTTCCTTCCCTGCGTTCTCTGAGCGCTTCGCAGCATTAACAAGTCTCTTGCACTAATGGATTGCCTGTGAAGTCAAAACCAGTTTGGCTCTTTTAGAAGATTTTGCATCATTAATTTAAACTATCAATGTGGAGTAAAAATGGCTGTCTAAAGCGAAATGTGTAAGACGGAAAAATTTTGGAGAAGAAAGTATTGAACCAGTTGAACAAAGCTTCGAAGCATTAAAATCTGCAGAAATCATCAAGCCCTGAGAAGTCTTAATCATGAATTCTGGAGTTGCTATGAAATATGGAAATGACTCCCCTGCAGAGCTGAGTGAGGTAAGCAGTTTCAGTGCCCTTCTTTATGCTTTAAAAAGAAACGCTCCCCTTCTGGGCTTTCAGTCTGCAAGCAATGCAATTAAAAATTAATAAAATGTGTATCTTGCTATAACTTTCTGTGACAGTCAGGAAATGACCTGAACTTTTCTGCTGCTTTACTCTGAGTGAGTGGTGAAAAGCAAATGATTGTAACCATGTAGAGACATTTTTCCTGTTATCCTGCAGCAGAGATTCCCCTGCCTCCCAAGAGCTGTGTTTATACCCAACATTCATCTTTGCAGTAGGTGAAATGTGGAGATCTCAGTTGAGATTAAGCAGATGGTGACTAATTTAGGAGGGAAGTGGGGTCAGTGGAAGATGACAAATATTTATTGGTAAGACAAAAACATTGGCAGAAGTTGTGTTTGCTTGCATTTAGCCAAGGTGATGTTGTTTCTTTAGGTTAGATGAATTAGGTTACTTTCCTTCCTTGCCTAAAAGAAAACAAGCCATGGGAAACTTTCTGCTTTTCCATTGGAAACCATAGTAAGCTGTTATTTCTTAGAGTTGTGGGTATGTCTGTTTTTTGTAAAACATGATTGTGTGTGTGTTTCTAATAAATTTGAAATTAAAGCCATATCAGATGTTATGCAAATGCTTAATAAATATTTTAGAAGTGGCATATTTTGGCAGTTACTGAAATGTCTTCAATATGTCATCCTATGGGCTTTACTGAGAACTGCTAATTTAGTTATGCTATGAAATCCCAAGCATTTGATTAAGGTCATTTTGTAGAAAATTGAATCTGCAGTCTGTATTGCCCCAGTTTAACTGAAATGCTTCTCTTGCCCTTTTGCCCATTCCTTTGATACATCTTTTAATGTAACATAGCCTTTGTTTACCTTATATGTTTGGGGTTTTAGGAATATTAGATAGGATATTCTTAGCAGAATGCGAGCATTAACAATTTCTGGAGTTAATTGTACAGAGAAAGGAGACATTGAGGCATAGAATGGAAAATAAATCAATAGGCTAGTGAGGGGGACAACAGTGTAGGGCGAAGCAGTGTCAATGTGTGAGACTTAAGCAAGTGCAGTACCCTGCCATGCAAGAGGAACAGTAGGTTTGTGACTGGGTAGTTCTTGTGAAAGAAATTTCATATGTGTTCCTCCTTTAAGTACGGAAGAGTTCAATTTCATTAACTCTGTGGTACTTTTTCAAATAGTTGCTTAGAAATTGTGTACTGGCAATGCAGCACAAATGGAGTTCATAAACTCAGCATAAAAGCCCAGGTTACTTTTGGTAGGTGTCTGGCACAGTGTTTCTGGCTACAGTTGTTTTGATGGCCTACTGATCACTGCTTTCTATCCCCTGAACATTTCATTTTCAAGACTGTGCAGGATCACATAAAGCATGGAGTGTTGCAAAGATTTGATACTTGGGTTGTTATTTGGAGCAGACAGTATTTACTAGTAGCACTGCTACCTTGAAATATTACCTATTCAAGTTTACTTCACACATCCACAAAGTAAGACTTCTGTTGTAAGAAGTACCTTTTTCTTCTGATGTTTTAACATGGGAAATATGAAAGAAGTTTGTGACTGTGCACCATGCAACATTTTTGTTGGGTTTTTTGGTTTGTTTTTTCCAACAAGGTTACTTTAATACTTAATTTACATTTGTACTTTGGCACTACAGGTAACTTAGAAATAGGCGCCTTTCTGACTGCAGACATACCAGGGAAGATCTTACACTCCTAACTTTCCGCAGCTGCTAATCATCATTTCTTTGCTGTTAGTCTTCATCTTTGCAATTTGAGCTGCTTGCGTGAGTGTGCTTTAGCCTGTGTCACTGAAAGGGCCAGGTCAGCTTCAGCATTGGTCTAGGATAAAACAGTGTGATTTGAATGAAACATGGAGGCCTTACGGAAGCATCATATTTCACCTCCCGTAGGGGAGAAGACACGTAAGTACTCTGAGATGCAGTTAGTTGCTCATCTTAACCTTTAATTACTCAACAAACTCCCTGTAATTTGTATGCTTATATTAGGCCTTTTCGCATTGGTGACTGGTACTGTTTTGCTTGCTGTAATTGCAGATAGAAAGCCCTGGGTAAAGCCTGTACATATGGTTTACAGATCTATGTTTCTCACCTCGTCATCATGCTTTCCCCCTTTTCCTTCCTTTCTGGCTACATTTTTTGTATGCCATGTTTATTTTTGATCAATGGAAGACAGTAGCATTGTGTTCATTTAAACAATGGAAAAATTTGGAACTGGCTACAATAGGAATTTGATTAAATGCCTGCTCTCTTAGTGTGTTTCCACCTGCACCTCTACCTCTGCAGTCAGCTGAAATTTTCACGTTCCAGTGGGCTGCTACCAGTGTATACGTCTGAATGGCAAATATGATAACAGACCAAGAAAGACTATGATTCACATGGTACACAGTGGGTTTTGGTGTAGGTGCCTTGATCTCTTTATCTCAGTACATGGAGCTCTAGGCATGAAACTACTGTTATTGAAATAAACAGGAAAACTGCAAAGCCCTGAAGATATAGTAAATGCATTCTTGAATGGATGCATTAGACAAAATAGAAAATGAAATTATTGCAACTCATTCCATTTGTATTGAAACTTCCTACTTGAGATTTACATCCCTCTTTGGGAAATGGGCAAAAATTAAGGCATATCTTTTTTTCAAGACATAGTGTCATTGTAGGAATTCATGTGTGGTTGATGTTTGCTGTTCCTAAACTCTTGTCCCAGAAATCTTTATAGTATTTATTTACTCCCCTTGCCCCTGTCCAAAGGTCATGCAGAAAGCAGAAAAAAAATCTGATTTCTGTCATAGGTCAGTCAGACTTCTATAAAACTCATGCTCTGTGATTCCCTCGCTCCGGAGTTCAAGCTGTTGTTTATTGATACGTGTATCAGTACATGCTACCCCACTTCTTCTGCTTCTCTCTCCCTTCAACCTTCTCTTTCTTCCATCCTAAGAAAGAAGGATTAGCCAATGTGCTGTTTGCATGGTAGATTCAGTGTGTTGTAACTGCATGGAGAGGTAGAAGAAGCATTGTTATTACATAGCAAGGTTTGCTTGGTGGTGGTGTTAGGTTTGAGGGTTTTTAAATATATCATACATTAAGAGAGGCAAATCTGAAAAATCTAGAATTTGCAGATTGTTGCGGTACTCCATAAGAACGTACGACAACCTTTGGTACCTTTGTCAATAACTAACAGTGTCCAACCAAGCTCAGTTCTACTATTATGCAACGGGCCTTCACCTGTCAATATTATGACTTAACATGATTTGCAGAGTTTGCTTTTTAAGGCTTGATCAAAGAAGGATGTGATTTGTATGCAATACATGACACTCAAATTAGGTAAGTGCTCTTTGGATCCCTTCAATTTTTTAGTCATACAATACTGTAAACCTTTAATGTAATCACAATGCATATTTTTAAAGCCAACATTGTGAACGTTACTGAAAACATGTACATGTAAACAGTTTGGTGCACAGTAACTGCAGTTACAGGCTGTTTTTTACATAGTTAAATATGAAACTTTATATCAAAATTTATATGCTTTGTACATATTCATTCAGTTTTTCTGCAGAAAGAGGTGTTTCTCTAGAAGGAGCTGGATTGTCTAATCTGTATCTTCTTCCGAATTCAAAGACACCACCTTTGACTCAGCAGGTCCCTGAGCCTCGGACGGCTTTCAGCCCCAGCATTCTGGGGAGGTATCACTACATACTAGCTTTGTTCTCACACACTCCCCTGGCCATCCACTGTTGAGATGGTGTGCTGAGGTAGGGAGATCTGTGGTCTGACCTCGTACACCTATTGGGCTAAATGTGGTCAGCAGTTATGCCCATGCCTAATTCTGGGACAGTTTAAATTAGTAGTGTAGGAACATGAAGGAAATGTAAGTACTGAGCTTAATGATATTTTTCTCAGTTGCCTACTTAAGGGCTAAATTATATCTTTGGATTAAGAGCCAAATTATGTTCTCGGATATACTTTTCATTAAAGTGAGCCTGTGAATTTGCTGATGGTAAGACTATGCCTAAGAGATTCTGTTGTGGGGTAAGGACTGGTATTATAGTATTGCAATATATTCAGCACTTTAGATGCAGATCATTTGTATAATGTAATTATTTATTGTATTCTTTTAGCACTTGCTGTATAAGTTGATGGTGTATAACTTCTAAAAAGGATATATTCTTTTCTGCACAGCAAAATTAGAAGATACCATGCTGCTTTAGGTGCATACTTTATATCTTCTGCTTCTTTCTTTCTGCTTGGAAGTCAAGTGTTTAGGATGTGAATGTTGTGCCTTGCAGCATTAGATACAGCGACATATTCTTTAACATTGACTGGAATAAACAGATGGGCTATTTGTCTTGGAAAAACGAGTAACTTATTTGTTTGCTTTAACGATGGGGTATTTAAAATTTTGGGGAGGGGAAGGGAAGACAGGATTCAAAGTTTGTATTTGTGTAGGAAGCAGAACAGAGAGTTCCTAAGAAGGGTTTCATCAAAATCTTACATGTAATACCAGATGTGAAGAAGAGAGCACCAAGTTTGAAAGACTTAAATTGTGACTTTTAAAATAATTTTACAGTAGGGCAATATTGCACTTTCTTTTAAGATTTGTGTTCCACTACTGCTAAACTTAGAAATTACACTTTGAGGAAAAAATGATGTAGAAGAAGAATTACAGAAAGAAAAGGGGCTACATGGCTTGAAGTTGCGTACATGAGGCCGGTGAGTAAATCTGAGGGGAGCTGCAGGGTGAGGTGGGTAACCAGCAGAAGTGCAGGATATTGGGCCAAGCCTCACTGGCAAGGGAGAAGTTCAACAGTGGCAACCTCCACCCTGAGATACTTTCCCATGTGTGTGTCTGTTCTTTCAGAACAAGTGTCAGCTTGTGCTTACACTGTACGTACAAGTGAGGAAATGGCACTGATGGAATGGGAAGCAGGTTTTGTATGCGTTCAAGGCTAGGATTAAAGCTC